AGGGGGGGGGCAGAAGAGCCCTTTGAGTTGTAAATACTACCTGATAAATCACATTTCCAGTGATGCTTTTTGGGCAAAATCATGAGGTGTGATCTTGAATGTGACCTGATTAAGTGCGTTTGCTTTCATTGGCAAGTCAACACATTATTGTAGGTTTATATCTTCACTGGGATCTATAGAGGTGCCCCTTTGGTGTGCGTTTGCCCCCCTTTGCCTTTTTATCGTTCCGGCGTCCCTGCTAATATTTTAAAATTTTTCATACGTTTCTCAAGCGGCAAACGAACTTAAAAAGTATGTTCAGTGCTTTATCTGTGAAATAATGCTAAAATGAAGAGATTTTAGATGGTACGCCAAAGAGAAAACGATGTCTGAAGTTCAGTAAGTTTTCCTAACTATGTAAACTACAAAATAAAGCTAAAACAAAGTAATTTTGAGAAGAACGCCAAAAAGATTTAAAGTTTTGAAGACTTTTCTGTAGCGAAGAAGTTTCATTAGTTCTTCCAGTGATAAACAACAAAGTCAATACAACCTTCGAGAATACTTTTACGGAAAAATTTGAAGACTTGATATTTCCTGATATGCTTCCCGGTCTGCCCACAAAAATGATGTTGTTGCAAAAACAACTGAAAATCTCGATAACATCATCAGTGTTAAACACCGAGTCGTTTCCCTCAAACATTTCTTACAAATCCTTAAAAACTTAGGTAAAATTAATTGTGGGAATCATCAGAGATTAAGATAGAGAGCTTCTTTCGGTACTCGACTGTGTTATGTTAGTGGAACATCTTTGTTTGTGACATATGTTAATTATTGCTCTTATAGAGCGGCTGCTTGTGCATTCCATACTGTGCTTCAAGACAAAATGGTTGCCGAGCAGTTTAAACCTCGTCTTTGGGGAAACCAACATATTCTAGCGCACGGTATGAAATTCAGATGACAGTGGTATGACTTCGAGTTTGTAGGTGGATTTTTCTAAGGGTCGTGCTAACTTCAAGAGACTGAATTTCGCCAGTCTCTGTATAACTGTGAACCTTGATTTCCATTTGGTCATTGGTTGTCGTCATTGTCGCTGGCATTGGCAGACAGTCTTTCGGTGTCGTTGCCAATCGCTGAATGTCATCGCTGTCAATGAATTTTTTGGTGGGAATGACAACTGGTGAGAATGACAAAATGGCTGACTAAAATAAACAATTCCTATTTCAATCATACCTGTCTTTATTACTTGCGTTAAGGCGGCAACGATAAGGGAGAAAACGTGGCGGTCTTTCCTACACCGTTCAAGACGTCTGTGGCGACAACCAACGACCACCAGCGACACAGTAACGACCAAATGAAACCAAGCTTAATTACTTGGCAGTCGAAAGCTAGCTCGTACAATGAATATTTTGAGAAAAAAACTCAGTATACGAATAATCCTGCGAGCTGATAACTTCATGAAATAAAGTACGAAGAATAGAAGAAGTTCCAACTTGGACTGAATGTTTGAGAAAGACTAGAGGAGACAACAGTACTGTTTCAAATTTATTACAAATTCATCATCATGATTTGTGTCAAATTCATCATCATAACTCAGTATAATAAATTCGAAATATCACTGTCGAATCTTGTCTCCTGTTGTCTTTCTCAAATTTTGAATCCAAGATGAAACTAGTCTATTCGGAGAATACTTCATACTCTGTTTCACCACGAATAATCCTAGTTTCGCTTCAAGCATCTTTAAAAGTATTTCCTGGTTTGCTCACCTTTGGCGAATATGGTTAAGAATCTTTCCTCAGAAATGTTTCCTTTAGTTTCTCTTGAATCAACTCTTTATTACTATAGCCGAGCGTTGAGTGGTGAGCGGAGATAGAGGAACCTAGCTTTTTATGCAAGCCCTTGGCGATCCATGCATGCGTGGGCAGTCTAAACATTTCTAGATTATACTGTTTGACGTTACGTTAGTCAGCTTATGATTACTAACGCCGATTAACTCCCAATTCCAACAATTTGAATCACTCACATACCATGTTCTCGTAATATAAACAAATTCCAGAATCGAACTTTGATAAGATATGGATTAAAATTCCAAGAAAACATTTTTATGCTTATATTTCAAGTTTACTTCAAAGCCTCTTTTAGACCAACTATTTTCTGAACTAGTGATTTAAAAAATTGAGTACCTTAGACAATTAATTTAAGTAATTACTATTATTATATAGTAGAGAGTGAGATACTGAAAAATACACAGCGAGATATTTTCCATATATCTTCGCTAGTGAAGATAGCGATCACATGTTTTTCAATTTGCTTTTGAGCGTGAGATTTCACAATTTTTTGCTTGGGACTATATAATAAACACAACATTACACGGTGGCAATTTGATTAAATGTTGGTTAAATTCGAATAAAAATTGGATGAGAAATTTGACGGTCAGAGTCAACTGAAAACGTAAGTAGGCCACATTGTATAATTTATGCAGTTTCCGAGAGCCCTCTAATTTTACACATGGTTAATTCTGAGTCAAAATAGTCAGTTTTTGAAGTGGGACATGCAAGTGATTGCGAACACGGAAATAGTGTTACTATGACAGACAAGGAAATAAGGAGGAACATATAACATCTCGAATTTTCGGGTATGTACCGGCACTCGACATATTACGCATATTTTTCTCATTGGTATACATTTCTCAAGGGTGGGACAGAACACAAAATTCTTTGTCTCTTTCAATTATTAAAATTCTTTGTCTATGGAAATCATGTGGTGATTGTTTTGTGGTAAATGTTTTGTGGTAATTGATATGTTTTGAATCACAGCCTGTGCGGGTAAACTATTTTTATGTTAAAAACTTCCCAGTGATCTCTATATATATCTGGAGTAAGAACTAGAAAAGCGAAAAATCAAGATGGCGGAAATTGACGTCCAAAATCCATGCCATTTTATACAATTTTCCTACCTAATCCACATTTTTTAACGTATCTTTAACGTATTTAAGTTATCAGTTGCTAAAACCATAACATTATTCTTTAAATCTAAGTCAAAACACGAAATTGTGGTACATTTCTTGCTGCTGAAAGTCAATTTCCGCCATCTTTGAATTCACTTTTTCGACGCGAGTTCTTACTGCAGATATCTATATAGAACTCACTGATGATTTCTCGACAGACACTCTAAACAAAAACAAGATGTACATCTCGTGTTTTCGAGCAAAATCCCTTCCGACCCTTTGTCAAGAGAGTTGACAGGAACTTGGTCAGAGAAATACATTTTTTATGTTAAGATCAAGTGGCTGTCATTAAACTCCCCAACCAAGTGTTTATACTCATCCCCGCTCCCACAGTTTCTGCTGTATTTTATAACAGTTTCAATTCTTATAACTATCAGAGAACATGAAAATAATATTTTCGTGTTCTCGGACAGCAACAGTATTTTAGAAATAATTCCTGCATTGGACTCCTACGTTTTTGATCTTTTAAATTAGCGTCATCAGTCGACATGGACGTCAGCGGAAAATTCATATAACTAATTTTGACGGCATTCTGTATCACAGCGCTCGTGTATAAAGGAAGCAAAAAACTTTAAAAATCTTAGGCTTTAATAATAATAATAATAATAATAATAATAATAATAAACATTTATATAGCGCACAAACCAAGACTGTTCTAGGCGCTTTACAGTAATACAAAATCCAATCTTAAAAACTAGTGTTAAGAATGTTAAAACTATAGAATACATCATACACTATTTAAAAACAAGTTAAAAAGATATGTTTTAAGAAACCTCTTAAAAATGGTTAATGATTCACACATCCGAAGATGAACAGGTAAATCATTCCACAATCTTGGTCCAGCAACACAGAACGACCTGTCTCCGTATGTCTTTAGTCTAGAATAAGGAATCTGGAGCAATTCATTTCCATTTGATCGAAGAGTACGCTGCGAAGTACGACACAGCATAAGTTCCTTCAGATACGATGGAGCAAGATCATTAACAGCTTTGTAGACAAGAAGTATAATCTTGAATTTAATACGGTATTGGACAGGTAACCAATGCAATTCGATAAGAACTGGGGTGATATGCGCCGATTTCTTAGTATCAGTTAGTAAACGAGCTGCAGTATTTTGGACTCTCTGAAGCTTCTGAAGCAAATATTTGGGTACACCATACAACAGGGAGTTACAATAATCCAGTCTTGAAGTTATAAATACATGAATAATTATTTCTAAGCAATTTCGAGGTAGATATACTTCTTAATTCTTGAAATATTCCTAATATGGTAGTAAGCTGACTTGCAGATACCATTAATATGTTCGCCCAATCTGATCCACTCATCAAAAATCACCCCCAGATTTCTTGCTGAAACAGTTGGCACAATTTTTTCCTTTCCCACCATGATATAATTTAAGGGAGGCATCAGATGATAGCGTGAATGGACTAATATAAGCTCCGTTTTGCCACTATTTAGTTTCAATTTATTCAGCATCAACCAGTTTCCCAATTCAAGTATACATTTCTCCATACGGATCTTAGATGATATTAAATCATCACGATCATTCGTTTTGAATGCAATGTAAAGTTGCCCATCATCAGAAAAAAAGTGAAAGCGCAGATTG